GAGCTCGTGCTTGAGGAAGCGGAAGACCTCCTTGGCCGGGCCGCGCCGCTCGGGCTCGAGCGCCAGGAGGCGCTGGAACATGCGCAGCGCGGGCTCGGTGAAGCGGCGCCACTGCGACGGAGGCGGCCGCGCTGCCAGCGCACGAACTCCTCGAAGAAGGCGTCGGCTCCCGACGCCGCCTCCCATGGGAAGTTGCCCGTGAGCACGCAGAAGATGAGCACGCCGAAGGCCCACACGTCCACGCCCGTGTCCACCGCGAAGCCATCGGCGCGGCCCGCCTGGCACACCTCGGGCGCCGTGTACGGGATGGTGCCGCTCACGCGCTTCACGCGGCAGCCCACGCGGCGCGTCATGCCGAAGTCCGCCAGCTTGACGCGGCGGCACTCGCGGTCGAACAGCAGCACGTTCTCAGGCTTGATGTCGCGGTGCACCAGCTGCCGCCCGTGCATGAAGTCCAGCGCCAGCCCCAGCTGCTGCACACAGCGTTTCACCGTGTCCTCTGGGAGCCCGACCTGGCCAGTGGGAGAGCAGCGCTCAGGGGTGGTCACGCTCGCCTCTCCCCAGTTCCTTCTGGGTCCAGGCTTCTGCTGGTGCCCTGCACGCTCTGGGGGGCTGCCCCTCTACTGTGCCCTCCCCCATCCCACCCAGGCTGTCTCCAGCTCCCTCTCTGGTCAGGTGCTTTTCACCCCACTGTTTCCCCTATAGCTGCAGCAGAATACGGAACACCTGCTGCAGGTCAGGGGCTGCTGCATTGGGGCTGGTTTCCGCACGGTCTGATGGAATCCTCACCCTGGGCGGCCACTTATGCCCACTGCCCCTGTGGGGATACAGAGGCTCCGGGAGGCCTCAGCACTCCGCTAGCAAGTGGCAGGGCACATTCGATTCTAGTATCTGAACCCTTTCCTCCACTCCCCTGGCTCCAGGGTCACCTCCTCCGAGACCTCCTGTTTTGTGCTGCTTGGCTTCTGGCATTTTCCCTGACACCTTATCCCTCCTCCCACCCCCCCACCCCCAGTATCTGGCTTACTTACTGTGGAGTGTCTATTTCCCCGAGAAGCAGGGGAGGCCCTTTGTCTTCCTCACTGTGAGCCCCGCACCCCAGCAGTGTCTGACCTACAGTAGGCAGCCAATACATCCTTGGTGGACACCTTCCTGCTCCTGCACTCTGGGCATTTAGGTGACCACCTCTCCTGCCTGTCCCACCTACCTGAGGAGGGATGATGTCAAACAGGTCCCCAGCGGGTGCGTACTCCTGGGCGAAGACATAGCAGTCCTCGGTCTCAAAGACCACATCGAACACCTTGATGATGAAGGGGCTGGACGACAGGCTGTTGGTGATGCTCACCTCCCGCAGGAAGTTCTTCAGCTTGGTTTTGCTCTTGTTCACAAACTTCAGTGCCATTTTCGTGCCTGGTGGAGGCAACAGCAAGAGTGGTGAGGCCTGCTCCACCTGCGCCCCTGCACCTGACACGTACCCATGCCTGTCTGCACAGCCTGTCCAATGACAAGGCAAGACAGATGGGACAGACCCGGACCACAGCCATGCAGCAAGGCAAGACCACCCTGGGCCTCCCACCCAAGTTGGGGCCCCCTACCCAAGTTGGGGCCTCCATGAGGAGGATGGCAAGGAGGACTTCTGCTTCCACCCGCTCTCATTTTTTCCTGCCACACCATCTTATTTATCTCATCTGTCTCCCCAGTGAGGATGCATCTCCCTAGCACAGGACCCCTGTCTGGCCGCCAGTGCATCTCCAGTGCATCTGTGTCTCCTGAAGTGGGCACATAGATGCTCAGCAAAGGTTTGTTAAATGGATGAATAAGTAAGAAACAAGGTGGGCCAGCAGATGGCGCAGTGGTTAAGGCACTGGATCTCACGTGGCCAACTCTTGAGTTTTGAGTCCTGGACCCGGAAGCCTGAAAAACATGATGGATGGATGTGTGTAATGCCCAAAATCCTAAGAGGAGAATGGAGGAGAGGGGACTGTGTCACGGCCGTCCCCCAGGGGAGTGATTTTTCACTTTTTCTCTCTCTCTCTGCCAAGTGCACATTCCCTAGGGAGGAAAACAATCTAAAAAGTAAAAGGAAGGCCCGACAGCTTGGGCAGGTGTCTGTACCACCCAGGTGCAGAGCTGTGCACACTTACACACTGCAGGTCCTGCCTTTACTCCATTTACTACTCGAGCTTCGTAATGACCCTATGAGGTGGGCACTGATGTCACTTTAGTTTACAAGGAGGGGACCCAGGCCCAGAGAGATTGAGTTACTTGTCCACGGCCACACAGCAAGTAGAAAAGCTCACTCCATGCTCAGTGCTCTTGCCGCTGCCCTCAGTAGGCACAGAACCTCCATCCCAGCTGTGTGCAGCTGCGGCCGTGTGCTGTGAGCCTATGGTATGGTGGAGGCCTCGAGCTCAGAGGTTATGGGAGAAGGCTCGGGTTGACTGCTGGAGTCTCATCTTAGTTCAGACCCTTCACGGTCCTCGGCTAAGTGGCTGAGTCTGCCTGGATCTCAGTGTCCTCATCTGAGAAATGGAGATGGCAGATGGCAGTCTCTCCTCCCTGGGCTGCTTCAGGCCTCATCCTCCACACCCGCACTACTGAGTCCACATCCTGGCCTCAAAAGCACTGGCCACGTTGGAACGTTGTGCATGTTCCCCTGCCCCAGCCTTGAAACCCTGCCACCCTGCAGTCACTCACCTGTGCCCTTGTAGGCCACCAGGTCGACCTTCCCGTAGGTGCCTTTGCCCAGCTCTCGGACAAGCTCGTAGTGCTTGGTGACATCGCTAGCAGCCAAGGTGCGCAGGGTCAGTGCCTGCATGTCTTCAGTGAGGAGAGGCACGCCTGCACCCGGCCCAGGGGCCGTCCCCGGCCCACAGCAGGGCAGGGAGCGGGGCGGTTCGGGCTCTGGGCAGCCCACGCTCATCTTCTCCCTGTTGTGGGGGTGTGGCATGAAATGTGACATCAGGCTAGGGTCCCCTCCTCCACCCCACTTCCTGCCTCCCCAGTGCTGGTCCTGGGCGTCCGGTCCAAGATGACCACGAGGGGGCGACAAGCATCGCTGTTGCATCACCTTTTCCAAAGCTGCAGGGGTTGGTCTGATCCAGCACTCCCCAAAGACAGTCATTGCAGGTCCCTGGCACTAGGATCCCAGTGGCCCACTTGTCTCATGTCGTCATCCACACACAGTGCCAGGCAAAGCACACGTGTTTATGTCACATACAGACATGGCCCTTCTGTGCAGAGTGCACAAGAGAGTTCCAGGTTCACAAGTATTGACAAGGCCCCAGTTGTTGGCCAGGTGCTCAAAACCCAGGAGATGCGGCACTGAAAAAACACCGGAGGAGCCCTGCCCTCAGGCTTAACCCTGGGGGAGATGGCCAAGCAGTGGCCATATGAAGAATGCAGGGAACTGGGGAGGGGAGGTCTGAGGACGAAGACTGTGGTATCCAATACAGGCCACTTCCAAAAGTTCATGGGAAAGGAGAATCAAATACAAGTTTATTCTGGTGCAACCATGTTGAAACCCATGCATCGTATTTTCATGATACACGTTTTCTGCGAGCTTTCTGAAGATCCCTCAAGCCTCAGTCGTATAGTCTCAGGCCAAACTGGCAGGATGGCGCAGCTGTGGCCTCACAGTACCACCACCACACACAGCCACACACCAGCGCGGCCGCAGTGCCTCCCCCAGCACAGACAACACAACCCCACTCGCCCCAGGGCCCCACCCAGCACCCTGTCCTGAGGGGACAGAGCTCTTCTCCCACAAAGACCCAGCCTTCCTCTCCTCCCTGTTGACAGCCTGACCCCTCTGGTCCACACAAGCTGAGATGCCTCTTCCTGGACTTGACTCTCATAGTCAAGGAGAGAGAGAGAGAGCCTGCCAGTGGGGCATGGCCGACCACAATCCCTTCTCTTTCATTACTCCATCCTGTCTGGATGTTGGGCGCCCATGCACATACCTGGCGTGTTCTTCAAGCCAAAGGGCCAGGATTTAAACTGAGATTGGCCCTGTGGGACCCGGCTCCCTCAATCCCTAGGCTACAGGGCCAGCCAGCTCTGACGTGCAGCTGATGTACACGAGACTGCACACACTCGAAGTGCACAACTTGATGAATTTTGACATATGCATACATTCATGAAACTATCGTTGCAGTCACGATAACGAACATATTCTTCACCCCAAAAGTATCCTTTAGCTCCTTGTAAGTCCCATCTCCCAGGCAACCACTCTGGGGCCTCCATTTCTTATCTGTAATGGGGCGAGGAGTGGACCAGGAGAGCCGAGCCTTTTCCAAGTGCCGATGTGAATGTGCACATGTCCGCATGTGCCCCAGTAGGCTGGCACTGCATCCTCTCTGGCCTCTTGGCCGCACGCCCCTGGGTGCATGTCCCCAGGCACAGCTCCCTCTGCACTCCTTATACTCCCCTTCTACCTCCAGTCGGACACCCGCACTCCAGCATGAGGCCTGCCCCTGCCCTGCAGTCCCCTCCCTGGAAGACAACCCCTGGGGCTTCACTCCATCTAAGAGAAGGCCGGACAGCCTGGGGTTGAATCCCAGCTCTGTCACTTGCTAGCTGGAAGTCCTGGGGCAAGTTACTTCATCTCCCTGAGCCTCAGTTTCCTCAGCTATAAAGGACTTAACGCAGCACCTTCCTGCGGGTAAGTGTGAGGGTGAGTAGTCGTGTCCAACGCTGTCGTGTTGGCCACATCTGCAGCACCTGTATTCTCCTGCCCAGCACGGGCTGCTGACCAGGGCCAGAGGCCAGGAGCAGGGTGAGCTGTCCGGGAGCCTGGCCTCCTTACCCTGGCCCAGAGCTCCTTCCCAGGCCCAATGCCTCGCTCCTCCTCTGCCTTCCCCTTCACTCTCAGCACGACCCAGCCTCCCACTTCACACGGAGAGAAGGAACATCAGGAGGGAACTTCCTGGCCTCCCACCCAGCCACAAACGGAGCTCCATCTGCACCGTCCTCTCAGCTGGCTGGGGAGGAGGGAGCCTTTCCTCTCTCCCCGTCTTCCCCTCCCCCTAAGCCTTGGCCCCCTTCCACTCTTCCACTTCCTCAGGATCCTGCTCCCCATTCACCCCCATATGCTTGGCCCCTTCCTCTCCATTCACAACCTAGCTCATCTCCCTGGTTCCAACAGAACCTTCTACCTCCCGCGACTGCCTGCCTTCGCTTTCCTAGTTCGTTTCAGTCTGATGAGAGCCAGGGACTGTCTGAAACTCCTTGTTATTGTCCTGGAGAGTCTGGTCTGTCACCTGGACCAGCCCATTTCAAATGCACCCCTTTCCCCCCTCCGAAAGGAATGGTGTCAGGCCCATGGAAATCCGGTTCTGCCTGCCTCCTCCATGGGCAGTGCTGAACAAAACCTGACACAGCACCTGTCACCAAGTCTCTCTGCCACCCAGGTGGGCTGTAGCGGGGTGGTCTCTCCCATGAGACCCCCTGGTTTCAGGGTGGGAAGGGCTCACCCCATCAAATGTCAGTCACTGCCAGGATGGTGGTTAGGGTCTCGAGCTGGAAACCGAGGAGGTCCGCTTCAGTGGCGGCAGGGACGGGGAGACTGCGTCTGTCTGAGCATCCTCAGGCCGGTGCCCCTCGGGCCCTTCTGTGCGGTGTGGGGCTGTCTCCGAGGGGTCCCAATGAGCCCATGGCTCTTGTGCCTGGCACTCTCCCCCTGCCTTGCAGGGAGACGCTGGGCTGCTCTCCTGACCTACTTCTCGCGATGTGTGGACTCCCTGGGGGCTGCAGAGGTGGGCAGCCACGTGTGGGCCGGCACATGTGTACACCCCGTGTGCACGTCGCCACTGTGCGCTTTGGCTCTGCCAGGTCACTTCAGGCCGTCTCTGCATCTCCTGGGAGCTTGAGTGACAGCTGCAGTGGCCACCAGCCCTCCCTTTTCCCCCCCGCCCCCGACACCTAAGACTGGAGGTCCCTGGCTTATCCCTGCTCCTTTGACCTGAGTCACTCTGCGTATATCCTGGGCTGAGTGAGGGGCACAGCCACAGTGGGGTGAGTGCAGGTCCCCCGTGTGCCTTCACCTCAGGCTCAGCCCTGGCTCTGGCCACTATCATAGCTTCAGTGTCCCCTATTCAGTCTCCACCACACCTCAACAACCTCTATCACCCGTTCCACTTCCCACTACCTGTGTCTTACTATTCTCAGGTACCACTCCTCCAGGAAGCCTTCCCTGCAGCCCTGCTATTCCTGCT